GAGCCTGCAGCATGGTCCCTGCAGTTGGGCCAGCTGCATAACTGGTATCCACCACTTAACTTGCCCCTCCACTCGTCAGCCCTCTGTGTTCTTGCTGCTCTCCAAGTCTGCCAATGACTCTACCCATAGGAGAAGTGGGATGAGAGGGTGGGAGCAGAGCCTATGGTGCCCCTTCTGCTAAGAAACAGAAACTGAAAGTCCCAGTCAATGCCATACTCAGGTAATATAGGTAGGAGGAAATGGAAACATTCCACCTGCTGCTTTCACCCTACAGGTCCAGAAAGACCTCCTGCTTTCTAGCTTGGGATGAGAGGAGGAGCAAACTCAGTACCTAGATCTCTGGTCCTCAGGGCAGCAAACCCAGGACTGAGCTAATCAAATCAGCAACTGGTTTCACTTCAAAGTATACACTCCTTCCACCTGGAAGGATGTTCCTACTTTTGTGTATACAATGTCTGCATGGTTTCCCCCATCATATTAATATTACCTATGCCCGATCTTCTGTTCAGGTTTCCTTTCACCTTCCTTTTCTGTCTGGCAAGTGCCTATTCATCCCAAGAAATCTGGAGGGAATCATCACCACTTCTGTGTAGCCCCACTGAGAGCCCCAGGAAAAGTTGATTTGCCTTTCTTTGGTCACCACTGGATCCTGTGCTTACCACTAACACAGCTCTCTCTTATTAACTGGAATCAAGGTTAGTTTAATATGACTGACTTGATTACAGATGTACCCCAGTGCCTAGCACGGGGCCTGGCATACAGGATGTGCCAGGAAAAATTAGCTGAACTAGATAGAATATGCCTTACTCCCCAACCTCTGCTTCTCCACTGCAGGAGGATGGGCTCAGGGCCAGATAGCACAAACCCCAGGTGTTCTCAAAACGGCCAGAGATAAAGGCCATCCTTCCTCACAGGGGCAGGTTTACAGATGGCTGTGACAGGTGGTGTGTTCTGGGGAAGGGTTGGTGAAGGATCTTGAACATCACCCCAGGGCAAAGGGAGGCCCAAGCTCACAGGACTCTGGCACATCTCCAAGAGCAAATAGATCAGTTCAATCTTCAGGAAAACTGATGGGGCAGGGAGGCCTAGTCCAGGGAAGTTCCCCAAACCAGCAGCACCTCCATGGGGCTTACTTGGGCCTGCAGCCTCTGCCCCCAAGCATCTGCTGTCTGTGCCCTAGAACAAAGGCTCCCTGTGGCTCTCTAGCAGGCGGGTCGAGGCAGGCCTGAGCTGCTGAAATGCTTTGAGGACAGGTGCATACACCCTCCTGAATGCAAACCCAGCTTTAGACTGGGCAAGGGTGGAGATGTATCTATGAGGCTTCCAACTGCTGATGTTTTTTTCATCAGAGAAGGAGCCTCAGGGCACTCAGTCGTCTTCAAAAGGAAAACAAAAAGCATTAAATCCACATTACTTTTTAATATACCACACTGCTTTGCTAATAGTTATGCAGGTGGATAGAAACATACGCAGTAATGTGCATTAGCACACATCAGGCCTTTGAATCAGCAGATGTGGGTAGTTTAGCCACTGCTGATCTTGTGGCTCTCCTTTTTTTTTTTTTTTTTAACTGTGTAGCTTAATCTCTTTGGGCCTTGGTTTGCTCATCCGTATGATGGGGATAATACTAATACTGACCCCATAAGGTTGCTGGGGATACTAAATAAGATATAAATATGCACAGCACTTAGCTCAGTGACTGACATGTGATAAGTTCTCAATAAATCTATTCCTGTAATTTAACATGATGTCAAATGAGATATTGCCTGTACCCTGAAACTGTGAATAAGGCCAAATTTGAGGATTAAAGGCTCTAAGTACCCTTGCTTGTTGTAAGTTTGAGAATGTGGCAGACGTTGGGGCCACTTTCCCAAAGGAATGCAGCAGTTCACACTTTTACCACTAATATCTTCATCACTCCCCAACCTCCAAAATATTTAAGAAGATCTAGATGACAGAATGTCATTTTGGGGAGACAATGTTTGATGATCATGGAGAAAGGATATTTTCCTCCCCTCACCAAGGAGGCAAGGTAGCAGAGTTCTTGGGCCCCTTGAAGTCAAGGGAGTGGTAGCTCTGAGGATCGCTCAAAGTGGGGGTGCTGGCAAGAAGGAGGGTCCTGGCATTCCAGTCCCAAATTGGACATCTGCTTAGAAGAGACTTGGCTGATCTGCCTCTTGGCCACCTGAGTGGGGAAAAGAACCGGAGAGAGACTGTCTGGTGGGGGACTGCTGCCAGGTGACAGGAGGCCTTGCAATTCCACCCACTGCAAGTGGAAAATGGAGCCCACACGTTCCTGCTGGTCCTATGGTAGGTATTGGAGGGATCATAAGACTGAGGTAAAAGATCTGGCCAAGTCTCACAGAAGACCACCAGTGCCCTGGGAGCTACATGGGAGTGAGTCCTGGTCAGAAGGGCCTGCTGAGACTACCAGCTGAGACAGTGGCAGTGATGTATACTGAGGACAGCACCTTCCCCAGCAGCAGAACTCTGCTTCCTCTGTGCTGCCTCAATTCTGGAGGCTCAGGCACAAGAACATGGGAAGGGGAAAGGAGAGAAAGTCAAGTCAGCATGCCCCCATCTCTCTTCAAACTCCTAAACTCATTTGCACTGGAAGGAATGAGGGTAAAGAGCTTTGAGTAGAGTATTGAAGTTTGAGATTGAAGTTTAAAATGAGATTGAAGTTTAAAAATGACCATGACTGAGTCATAAATATGGGCATCAAGTAATTGTAATAACTTGAAGATGACTAAAGAGCCATACATTCTGGCCAAAATATCATTAAGTGAGTCTTGACCCAGCAGGAAGGATGGGGATTCAACATAGCACAGTTAAGGCAGTCACTGAAATACCATAAAACTCCTTCATGGTTATACCACGATGGCTTGATACCGCTGGCTACGGTATGCTCTTCCCATGCTCAGAGCCTTCAAGGGTCATCCCAATGTTAAAAAGGGGCAGACGGCTGAGTATCTCTCTGCATAACGTGCCTCCATGAGCTATAACATCTTCTGAAACCATGTTCCAGGTAACCAAGAGTTTAAACCTCATTTCTTTTACCTTTACAAGGCATACCTAGATTTTATCCACCTGCTCTCCCAGAAGATGCCATGATCATGAGCTCTGAAATCACACAGAACTGGGTGCAAATCCTGGCTCTGCCACTCTCTAGCTACATGCTTCAGGGATGTCACTCATAACCTCTTTAAGCCAAAGTTTCTTCGTCTATAAACTGAGGCTGTCATAAACTCCAACTTTAGTTGTGAGAACTGAAGCCAATACAGATAAAAACCTTCAAAGCATAGTTGGTACTTGTTCATTCAACAAATACTTATTGCATAGATTCTCTATGCCTTGGGGTACAGGCATAGAGGATGGGGCAGAAGGGGGAAACAAATGAAGCAGAGGTCAGGACAATGGGTAGATAGCTGAGTGGCCAGGGGTCACTCCCAGCCAGGCAGGATGAAGCAGGCCTGCAGAGTCTGCATACCCAAGAGGCCCTGCTGCCACTTGCTGCTGAGCACACCTTATAAAAGTCCCTGCTTGTGCTCTGCTGGGGGACACAGGCCTGTGCCAGGAGTTTAATCACTCCCAGAAACTAGGAGGAGCATGCCCTGCCACCTACCAGCCAGCATAAGAACTCTGCACCAGGAGGAAATAATGTGCTCCTCTGAATGGGAATTTGCATCTGCCTACTCCCAGCAACCCCTCGCCCCACAGCAAAGCATATTCCACATGTCAGCCAGCCCTGATCTTATCCCCATGGATGAGGGTCCGTACCCCAGGGCTGGGGAATCCTCTGGAATGAGGACTGACCACACGATGACTGCTTCTGTGACCTCTGGAAGCAGTATGTCTGTGCCTGACTGGGAACAGGTCCAGCACATCAGAGTTCCTACAATTCATCAATTGGGAATTCCTACAGTCCCAATGAGACACAACACACCCACTAGGCACTAATCATGGCCATTTATACTGCCCACCCCCAATACCAGAAGAGACTACCACTCAGAAACGCAGCCCGGAAAACCAAGCTTTCACTGTGTAGCAGAGCAAAGGCAAGGAACAGGTCCCAGACGGAATCCATCATGCCTGCAAACTTACCTGCTCCATTTGGCTGTTTCCTTTCTCATTGTTCTCCTCTGCCCCACCCTGACCACCAGAGTCCATGCTAACAGGCATCCTTTCAAAAAGCAGTCTCACTAGGGAAAGGCACTATCGTCTGAAGCCCAAACTGCTTTACCTGTTCTGGGAAAACTGGAGGCAGGTGCAGCCTAATGAGCTTGGGAGGATGCCTGGGCCTATGGCAGCTCTGAGCTGGCAGCTGCTTGTATTTACAAACAGGAGAGAGCATGAAAGTTTCAGGCTGAGATGTTGTCTGAGGTGGCTGAGAATTCAAACCAGCCATCTCCAGACCAATAACTAATTTAATAGCAAAACGCTGGTGAACTAATGTGCTAATTAGTCACCAAATTTAAGTTAATTAAAAACTAATCACGATGTAAAAATATAGCGTTGCATTAATAAATCACATGCTTTTTATAAGAGCAAGAAAAAGTGCTGCTTCCTCTAATAAAAGTTAGAGATAAAGATTAAGCATTTCTCCCTGGGAACTGTACAGCTGAAATATGTTCTGTGGTGAAGCATGCTCTCTCCCATAGATAAGGCCTGACTTGATAGTTAACTGAATTACTAGACAGGTGAATCAAACCAGCATTGTTTAATCAAGTCTTTCTCAAATAGGACAGCTTTCCCTTCACTACCCTCTCAGGGTCTTGCAGAGGCAGCTGGTATGGTTGAATCCACCTTCTTGGAGTGAGTCTTTGGTGAGTAATAACGTTGGCATCCTCAAGTCTAGGCAACTATTGAGGAACCTAAAGGAAAACAAAACCAGAGGAGCCCACCAACATCCCTTGTCTTAATTGTGTTAATATCATTCATAAGTAACAGGTGGGCATTTCTAATTATGAGGCAGCTTCACGACAAGTGCTCTGACTCACCTTCTGCAGACAGCCCCTGGATGTTTATTCCCTTAGCTGCCAGGAAATTCAAGCAGGCATCTATGTTTTCAATCTAGGGGGGAAAAACAACAATATACACTTAATAAATGTTCACGCTCTCCACAGCCATCTCTTATTAGGAACAATGGGACAACAGAATGCTGTAAAAACGGCCGATGGATGAATGAACGCAAGATAGGACTCTTTGTCTGTACTTGCACAGGAAAAGTTTACCTAATATCCCAACCACATAGTGCCAAAAGTCGAGGCCTTGCATTGCTCACAGCTGCCAAAAATAACCAGGGCGGAATGGGAGCTCTCATCTTGGTCACTGCCACCACCAGTGCAATCCTGAAAACTTGAGCAGTTGCCAGAAAAATGGAGGTGGGGAAAAGGTTAGTGGACACACCCATCTACCAGCAGCTGGGAGAAATTTCCAGCCACCAAAGAGGCAGGCAGTCAAATGTACAAACAGTGAATGGGAGTTTTAGCAGGAATCTGGGTAGCATTTACACACAAAATTTTCCAGATGGGAGGCATTGCAGATGACCGGGGACAGCTGTGACCTCCTGAACCCCTCTGTCCTTTGTGCTTTCTGTGACAAGAAGGGACCCACCAGAATCTGTGAGATCTCCCAGGTTTGCCAGGGCTGACGCCACAGCCAAGGGCAAGCCAGTGTCCAGCCTTCCCAAAAGAACAATTAGGTCATTCCCAAGAGGCTAATTTGACTTTAGTTGTCAGGGCGAATTATGTTTTGGTTTAAAGGAAAATATTCTGGCTTGATTAATGTCAATGGGTACCATAAGTAAAAGAAATTGCTTTAGACTTGGCACAGAGATCTTTGAATTTCACACAATTTGCATTTAACAATGGGGACCCCACTCATTCCCCTCCACCATCACCCCAATCCTCATTACTTCCCAGGTTCCATCAACATTCCTATGAACTCAAATCAGTACTTAACCCATGGAATTTATTTTGAACTAATAAATGATAGCCTTCCACAGTATACATGTGACCCTTCCTGTTTCTTCAACCCCAAGCAATTTCCCAATGCTCCTTCATAGCCACAGAAAATGTAAAGTGTCTACATTTAAGAGCTCTAATGTGAGTAGAGTCTAGCTCCAAGGCAGTCTTCCTGAAGTTCACATCCACCCGCCTACTGACATTTGGCATTTTATGACTTATCTACTCCCAGTCTTTACATCTTCCAAGGACTTTAAATTAAGCTATGGGACACCTGAATAAAACTGCACCCGTATTATAGACTCTACTCGACCCTAGCTTGAAGTTACTCCACCCTTGCATTTTTAGCACAGGTTCCCATCTCCTTTCCAACCTCCATCTCACACTTCAAGGGTCCTCATCTGGAAGACATTTTCTCATCTCTAGAGAAAGGTGCAGAATGCGACTTGCTGCAAACTAAATGTTGATGCTACGCGTTATGCCTGCCATCATTGCAGAAAGTCCTTTCTTACATACATGGAGGAAAGGTGAGCTTTCTTTTCATCTTTCCTGTCCTCTGTCCAGCCCCAGGGATGACCGCTTTTGATGGTGTTGGTTTTAGCAAGTATTACGTGATAGAGAAAGTGAGGTAAGGAGGTCAGATTTCTGACCAAGATTACACAGGTCAATGTCAATGGCAGAGCTGGGTGAGAAATCAGGAGGTCCTCCTCCCTGTCATACACAGGAGCCTGCATTTACATAAATGCAGACAACCAGGTGCTATTGGCTTAGAGGGAATAAGGGAGGGGAAAGTAAAGGAAAGACTGGCTGGGAGTACCCTGAGTGTGATGTCTTGGAGCAATCTGCTCTCATTTGTAAGTGTAATAACAGTTGTGCCTCTGAATGCCACTTCACCATACCATGAAACCCTGCTTTTGAGAAAAAATGTTAATTATCAGTGCTTATTTCTACTGTTGTACACAGTGGTAATATACCAAATCCACTCAAAAGGATTTGTTGCCCCCTAAAAGAGACACTAGTATTTAAATCATAATAAAATTATAAAATCCCTCTTCTACTGCTTGCCTTTTCTTATCATTCTCTCCTACTCCTTTTATATAATATCTTGCACATGGCTAGTAAGTGAGGCTTTGGTAATTTTGTTCCCATGGAAAGTGAGAAAAAGAAAAAGCTCACCATCCCTGAATCTCTAATTGCAAATTCAAAAATAGTACACTTGATATTTATCCCGGGAAGTGTCATGGAGGTGGGCTGATGAGGTAGGTTAAGTTTTTTCAGCAATAGTCCAGCAATGTGGCACTGAATAAAAAAATAAAGACAACTGCCAACATATTCAAGAAAAGCACTGTTCTACTACAACACTATTTCTACAGAGCTCACATTCCAAGAAGCATAAAGTACATTACTTATATTTATGGAACATTCAACACATACAGCATCATTTAAAGTACATGATAGTGTCTGTTTGCAAGGCTAGCCTTGATACATTTCAATTCAGCCATCTGCTGGACTTTCTTTTAATGTCCAATTCTATTAAAAGGATAATTATAAATAAGTTACCCGAATACTTCTTCTTTGTTAACTTTTTAAAGTCCTGTCATTTTTTTCACAGAATTTTATAATTTTGATCAGTAGCTCTCCACTGGCTAGGGATGGTGGATGGAGAGGAAGGACCAATTTGTCAACAACTGGCAGCATTTGGGGTTGTCACAACAGGGGCAGGGTACTATTAGCATCTTATGGATAAAGGCCAAGATGCTGCTAAACATACTACAATGCACAGGACAGCTTCTCACAACAAAGAACTGTCCAGTCCAAAATGTCAACAGTGCTGAGACTGAGAGGCCCTGAGTTGCAGGATTCTTTCAAGCATTCATTCAGTCAACATTATTGTGTAGATGTCTGCTCTGCGCCGGCATGGCACTCAATTCTTTGGATGGTGTTGGTTTTAGCAAGTATTATGTGATACAGAAAATGAGGTAAGGAAGTCAGATTTTTGACCAAGATTACACAGGTCAACGTAAATGACAGAGCTGGGTGAGAAACCAGGAAGTCCTCCTGCCCATCATACATAGGAGCCTGCATTTAGATAATCCTCCTCTAGGGTCCACAGAGCCATTCAACACACACCTTGATTCCTGTCTTGTCTCAGGAAGAATCAGAGCACATAAACAAGAGAAGCATTAGGATCTTCCTTTATTAGGTGAACAGAAAAAGCCTAAGGGCACCAGTGTTTTCTTCTAAAGAGAAGAAATACAGGGAGCCAAAAGCAGATGGCTGGTCTGCACTCCAGAAAATGTTAAAACAAAGAACGTGGTCATTATTTAAAAGATCATTTGTAAGTCCATCAAGTGCCTTGAATTTTACCTTTCTACTGTGATTTCTCTGTTCACAGAAGGAGTTCAAAAAACATTCCTCAAGTCTCAAATCCACTGTTTAATAATATTCCATTAAGGTTAAAAATCACTGCTGACAAGGCGGCCAAGACCCACGCTCTTTCATCTGCACCCCAGGAAGAAAGTGAGGCTGGGAAGCAGAATGGGGTCAGATGTGGCTTCCAACCTCCTGGCTTCATTTGGAAGGAGATCAGAAAGGGAGATTGTTTCTTTGATCCAGTCCTTCTTGTGATTAAAATTCACCTTAAGGTTTTCTTCTAAATACTGTACAGGTAAACACAATCCATCTTCGAGTACTGTTGAAATTGCCAACTCCTACCACATCTCAAGAGGGAACAGCCCCAACAGCAGCACCCCAGTAGTCATTACAGCACAATGATGTTCTCGTGCCCATCTTCAGCAAGACTCATGTGTGATCCAGACACACAGCATGAGATAAGGGTCCGATTAAAGTTGGGAGGCAGGTGAAAGAAAAGACTCTTAAACAGCAAAGTATGTAAATAAGACCAAACTTGTTCATTAGCACGTAGTGGCCAATATAAACTACTTTCCAAAATGAGCTGAAAAATATCTGTATGAAGTCTGACATTCCAGTGTTTTTGAAGGGGGCTGGGGACTGGGTGAGAAGCTATTTTAGTTGTTGCCATAGAAATGGGTCCAAGAGCTCTGGGACTGAGTTGCTGGAATTTGCAGCATTAGCTGGGGTAGAGGGGGAAACCCAGAAGAGGGACCACCACGTGGCTTGGAGACTCTGGGAACAGAGAGGTGTTGGATGAAGGATGGAGGTAGAGAAAAGGGGCAGACCAGGATGTGCCTCCCCAGAATTCCCTTTGTTTGGAGCCAAATGTGGCCTCCACCTTGTGCAGTACCTGAACATCCATGAGAGAGGCTGTAATTAAGCCTTTTTGCCAATCTCTGCTGAGACTGCCATCCCAAAGTTGAATAGTTTTTCAACAGTCTCTGAAGTTTACACTTGCAGGGCAACTTCCATGGTCTATGTGTGTTGCAGCCTTTGTCTCCCATATCCTGGAGTATTTCCCCACCCAGGAGAGCTAGGGAGTTAGAAAAATCAAAACAAATGCCAAACAACTGGAAAGAGAATCAGGAGATAAGAAACAAATGGAAAACTTTGCATTTCAATCATGATTAAGGCTGGACTTGGGTCTCCTGATAACGTAAAATATGCAAACCTCGGAAGCACTGCTATATATCTCCCTGGTAGCTTAGAGACTGATCAAATACCATCTGTTGTGGCAGTTGTCATGGCAGCATTTTTCTCTGAATACCAGTGTAGCTGAGTGCAAAGCGCATGAAAATGATTAATGCAAACGAAGACCATCTCTATGGGTGCTACCACAGCCTAGGGGAAGATGACATTCTGGGCATACCAAATAAATGGAACTGTAGTTCTTACGGTATAACAGTTTCTCACCAAGCCCCTTGGGAAATCTCCAGTCTGGAAGGAGAGGCAAACAGCTGCTGCATTAAAGTCAGGCATGGTCACAACCATTTTTGTAAATCATGAAATGCCTAAAGCTTAGGCAGTAGGAGCTTTAGACCCCAGGCAAGGCTAGGTGAGAACCTGCAAGTTCTGGTGACTCTGGAAGCACAGTGTAGCTTCTTCATAAAACTCATATGTCAACTCAAACAACTTCCTCCCAGAAGTGGGTGGGACCCTCATACCTGATATTGCTATTTGCCATCAAAAATA